GAGAACTGCAACTCCAAGCCAGGCATTCCAGTTCAGGCCCTGCTCTTGTCATCCCTACAGGACGCTGCCCTTCCTCCCCTCTCCTGTGTGTCCTTGGCTGCTGACACAGGGAACACGGGCTCAACAACCATTTACTGACCTACAGCTCAAGCACTGGAGCCCAAGTTGCCAAGAGCCCACCTGCACCAAGTGGTCCCGCTGGCTGCGGTCTGTGCGTGGTCTTGCGGCAGGTAAAGGCATCCTGCACTCCTGCTGCCTGCAGGGAAGGACTGCCCTAGTGGGAGGGTTTTTGAGCCTAGATGTGCAGAGCTCTGGTTAGTGATCATGACAAAGCGCCCCCAAGACTATATCAGAGTAGTTACTACTCCCCAACACAGAGTCCTTCCCATCTTCCAAGAGGGACAAGGACAAGGGGGCATTACTTTGGTTCCCAGCTGCCTTGGCACCGGATGTGGTTGCATGATTAAGTTCCAGCTGTGAGAAGTCAAAGGGAAGTATGGTGACTGTTACTGGGGAAGTTACCTTATAGAGGAGTCCACCTGAGATGACACTGGGTGGCCGATCCCCATCCCAGGGTACTGATGTGGTTGGGCTGCTTGCTGGGAGCTGCCCTCTCCTCTTCCTCATTCCCCCAGACACATGTTGTCTCATCCACTTTTCCCCATTCCTTGATCCTCTCCCTCTTAATCTGCGGTCCACACCAACTATGTAAACATCATCAAAAACAAACTTACCATAAAAAATAAAAATAAAAAAAGGGAGGGGGTCCAGCTCTTTTCCTTCCTCCCTTTTTGCCACTACTCGGGATGAAGATGAAATGCCTGATGCTCCAGCAGCCCTCCTGGTCCAGGAGGTGACCTTGAAGAAGGAAACCACTTGCTGAGAAGGCCCTTGATGACTTCCTGTAACCAGCACGATAGCCCTAATGGCCACTTTTACTGTCCTCTTACATGGGAGAAAAACCAACTCCCCCACCAACTCCCCCTTGTCTGGGGGGCTTCTGTGAGTGCAGTGGCACTGAGTCCTTACAGATCTAGGCCAAGTGACTGTGCTCACTTTACCTAAGAGGAAATGAAATCCTATCAAAGGAGAGCAACTTGACTTGGACCCACATAGTCTCACGGCAGAGCCTGAGCAGGTGCCTCCTAGCAAAACACTAACTGCATGTTTCTGGTGTGGACAATCACAAGCTGGAGGGCTTCTGCCAGCATGGGTGCTGGGAATGCAGGGTTTTGGCAGTGGCCTTGGGTTGCTGGCTATGTTCTTGTTACATTCAGATCGTCTGGGCCTGGACCCTACAGCACTCTGGCCAGGAACCCAGACCATGCTTATTAAATTCCTCCAGCTCTGGTTTGCCTTCCAGGCACCAGTAGACCAAACAGAAGCAATTAATGGAGGGAAGTGGCCCAAGGCCTGCGGAAACAGGTGGTGGTGGGGTTGGAGGTTGGGGAACAGTTCAAGTCCCCTGGGACGGAATCAGGAGCTGTGAGCTGCACAGGTGCTTGTACTGAGCAGCCCCCAGGTTGGGCATGGGAGCCTTTCCTGCAAAACCCAAGTTCAGGAACCGATGACATGTGATCAGGGCAGATACATCAGGAATTGGAGCAGCAGTGCTTGCTACAGGACCCCTTGGTGCCTTCAAAACACATGAGGACTCATTGCTGGGTTAACCTGGAGACCTATCTGGAAAGCATCTCATGGGGTATCTTTCTGCTCTGCTTAAAACAAAACAAAACAAAACACACTGGAGTGGCATTGGGGTAGAGTGGGCAAAGCCACTGCCTGCAGTGCTGGCATCCCCTATGAGCATTGGTTTAAGTTCCAACTGCTCCACTTCAGATCCAGCTTCCTGCTTACGGTCCAGGTGCTTGAACCCTTGCCACCATGTGGTAGACCTGAAAGAAGCTCCTGGGTAGTGTATCATTTGGGTAGTGTATCAGCAGATCTCTCTGATTCTGCCTTTCAAATATATACATACATTGTTAAATGAGAAACTGGAGTTCAGAATGCACCATGCCCCAAGGCCTGATTAAAAAGTGACGCGTTGGGCTCAGCGGCATGGCCTAGTGGCTGAAGTCCTCGCCTTGAACGCTCTGGGATCCCATATGGGCGCCAGTTCTAATCTCAGTAGCTCCACCTCCCGTCCAGCTACCTGCTTGTGGTCTGGGAAAGCAGTTGAGGACGGCCCAAGGCTTTGGGAACCTGCACCCGTGTGGGATACTGGAAGAAGTTCCTGGATCCTGGCTTGAATCGGCACAGCACCAGCCGTTGTGCTCACTTGGGGGAGTGAATCATCGGATGGAAGATCTTCCTCTCTGTCTCTCCTCCTCTCTGTATGTCTGACTTTCCAATAAATAAATAAATAAATCTTTTTTTTAAAATAAATAAATCTTAAAAAAAAAGTGACGCGTTGATGTGAACCATCCTATCTGCATTTAGGACCCACCATGCATTGGGCCCAGAAAGGGAAGCACCTGGTAGGTGCTGGTGGGTGTCACATTAGATGTGAACATGGGTACCTTGGGCCTTCAATTGTAACAGCATATTCTGCTGTTACCACGTGAGTGCTTGTTTCACAGGGAGGCTATTACTCATCCTTTCACTCCTTTGCATCCAGAGCTATGACCCAGAGACCGGCTGCAGATGCAGCAGGACCTCCAGGCCTGGGCCTAGCTCCATTGCAAAAATACCCATGACTTCTGCCAACTTCAGCAGACCTGAAGCATGTACCCAGGAAAACCCATCCATTGTGGGCCTGGCACTCAGAGAATGAAGCCCTAGAGCAGTCTACGTGTGGGGTTTTATTTTTATGTGTTTGATGGGTGATTGCCTATGACATGCAGGTGAAGATGATAGGAAACTTGTATCATAAATGGCCAACGCTTAAGTCCCAGGGGCATGCAGCCATGCCCACCAACTATACATTGTACACGGCTGTTTAGGCACTTTTGTAGCACAGCCATTGTTCACAGGAGCCGTGTGACCCCTTAAGGCTCATGGGATTTACTGTCTGGCCCTTGAGAGAACAAGTTTGTTGACTACTGTTGCCCAAGGGGTTCATCATTCACATCTGCTGATTCTGCTCTGGTTTCATTCCTCCCTCACTGGGCTGTCAGGAAGCAAGTGGCCTTTGACTAAGCCTCAGGAATGGAAAGGGATTATGAGCCAAGTACCTGTCTTGCCGTGGCACGCTGCCTGCAGCAGGGCTGTAGAAATAGAGGCAGCCAAGATGCTGCAGGTCATCAGTAGAGTGACCTTTGGAAAGCCAAGCAGCACAGCAATGGCTCTAGGCCAAGGGAGCAGCAGGTGCAAAGACCTGAGAAGGCCTTGGGGATGCCTGGATGAAATGAAATCCAATCATCAGTCTCCATCACTGCTCTAGGCCACAGCTGGACCTGTTCGGATCTCTGTTGGGTACAGATTGCATTGAGGGGTGCATGCCTGAGATGCGGTGCCGAGTTAAAAGACCTTCCTCCAGGGAGACAGGCAACTGTTTTAGTTCTGAAGTTGAAAGTTAGGAAGGGCAGCATGTGCTCTACAGCTCCCAGCGCTGAGGTCTCCCCTGCCCCCTAGACCAGTATGCCACAATGGTAAAGCTGGGAGTGGGCCCAGATGTGCAACTGCCAGATGTCAATCCTGGCATGGCCCAATATACAGATCCTTCTCTGCAGGGCCTGGGGACACATTCCTCTTCGCAGTGTCCAGCATGGTGCGGCGTGCCACACCCAACTCCACAGACCCCACTTTGGAGCCCTTCCCTAACTCCACGGTGCCTACACACAGGACTGGGAAGAAATGCTCAGGGTAGGGGTCCACTGTGTATCTTGGGTGGAAAATCTGTAGTACCACTAGCCTCTCTGTGGAATGGATATTTGCTCATCTGCAGATGCAAAAATAAATAAATCTTGGGGAAAAAAAGTTGGTGCCTTGGGACAGGGACAGTTGAAAAGCTTTCCCCCAGCACCCACTCACTGGACACCAAGCCCTGGGCTGGAATGTGGCTTGTTCCCTCCTGGATTAGACCGGAAGCCTGCCTTATCTTCCCCCTCCAATACCCACATTCCAAACTCCTGACTGTGTTCTGCTGTGGTTTTGCTCTCCCAGGGGCTGGCCTGGGAGGAGGTGGGCTCCTTATCCAACCTCACCTGCCTTTCTCAGACAGCTGGGTTCCAAGGCTACAGACTCCAGAACCCCAAAACTGTCTTGCAAAAGGAAGCCACAGGAGCATTTGTTTCAGGGCTAGAATCTGCTGGACATCCTAGGTCATGGTTGGGAGGGTGGCTCTAGTCATGCTCACTCACCAGAGGGAAGGCAGGGTGCCAGCATAAGTTCTTGGGGCTGTGTGCTGACCTGGCAGGCAGACAACGGAAGAACCCAAGCCCTCACACATAGTTTCTGGCTTCTCTGGCTTTAGTATTCCCATCATTGGGGGGGGACACACAGCTTCTAGCGAATTCCAGTCAACGTTCCACCTGGAATGGGCTTTTTGTTGGTCCACATCCAGGCGATGTGTGCTTGCTCAATTCCAGGTTCCCATCCCAACCACTGTAGCTTGATCTGATGTTTGCTGTCCAGGCACAGAGGTTGTGGGCTCAGGATCCTGAGCTTCCAGCTGATGCTCCAATCCTCCTACTGTGGCCCCGAGCTCAGGCTGGAGCAGGGAGCCCTGCATGGCTACAGGCTGAGAGCACTTTGGTGATTAGGGTGGGGCAAGGTAGGTTGGGAGGGGACTGGCTCCAGCCCGAGACCCCTGGGAGAGCACAGCAGGGCTTGTCTGGATTTGGGGACCTCTTAACTGGGACGAGGGGGTCCCTAGCTCCTGAGTACCTGTTTCTCAGAAGACAAGCTGAAGAGTTTCCTCTCACCTCAGAGCACAGAGGAACTGGGTGACCTTTGCCAGGACAGGGGATGCTGAAGGTCCGGATTGGTGTCTCAGTGCAACTCAGTGGGACAACAAATCACCAAGCACGTGCTTTTCAAATCACATATGGCTTCTCTGACCCCATCAAATAACTTTATTCACACAAACGTCCCTTAATTTACAAAGCCTCAGTCATTCATACACGTTGGGGGATGCACAGTGTTCGAGGAACTTAAATACAACGTTTCATACCAACCCGAGTAAACCAAGTACAAAAAAAGAGTCCTAGAAAGGTTGTTCACACGTAGGTCCTAGATTACCAGCTTCTGTGCAAAAAAAAAGGAAGAAAAATAGATTCATTAACTCGTATTTGGAACTAACTTTGTGTCTGGCTTAAAACCTGGTTGCAAGAAGCCATGAAGTACACTCCCTGCTTAGTTGTGGATGCCCCTGGGACAGGAAATAGCCCCTATATTTGCTCGTGTTCTCCTTTCCCTGGGAGAAAACAAGGGGAGAGGGCCCTCTGACACCCTGCAACCTCAAGGGTGGTGGGCTTGTCTCTTGGTGATGACTTATGGGCACACTGCTGGCCAGCCCCGTCTCAGGCCAAAGAGGTCTACCCTGGAGGGCAGGAGCAGTGGGCACCAGGAATAAGAGAGCAGAGGCAGCACCCACCTCAAGCCTGGATGTTGTGGTGCTGCAGGCCCCGAGGAACTCCCAGCAGCTGTACCCGTCTGGGGACCACCTACCAAGGGAACACTCCAAGACCTGGCTGGAGTGACAGCCAACAGTGTTCTCTGGCAGTGTGGGGGCATGAGTAGGAAGGGGGTGGGAGGCAGCCCTTGGCAGGGCAGGGCTGGGGCCAGGGGAAAGCAGCTAGGGCCCCTCCTCAGGGGGTGACACTGTGACTCCTGCTTTTCCAAGTTTCCAAAGAGAAACCAAAGCTAAAACCCAGACATAACATCCTACTAAGGTTTGTCTTCTAAGAAGGTAAATAGCCGACAGCATTAAAGTCAAAAAAAAAATTCCCACCTTGTCAGCAATTTTCCTTGTCTTAGAAAAAGATACAGACAAAAATAATAATAATCTTATTGCTCCAAACACTGGTTTTCTAGGCTAGGAGGCAAGTGATGCTACATGAAGGAGCAGAGAGTCCCAGAGGGTAGAAACACCCGGGGAATGGGCAGGAAGGAGTTCAGAAGCAGGAAGGCTGCGGGGAATGGGGAACACGGTCTTAGCACCACCGGGTTAGGGAGCAGAGTAGGGACAACCCTTCCCACCACCCCAGCACCTCTGCCTTCATTGGCTCTGGGGCACTATGGGCAGGCTTTGTGCAGGCACTGAGCTCGCACTGTGCTGGGCTCGGTTCTCCTCCAGCTGTAAACAGGGTATTTCTCAGGTAAACATCTTAACACCTTCCCTTGGGAAGACAGCCACGGGGTAGGGGCAAGCCACAAGCCATGTTGGGATGGGAAGACAGAACTCTTGTCTGGACGCCTTTGGGGCTGAATCCTGGGGCCCAGAAGGTGGCCAGACAGAGCCAGTCTGGGACAGCCAGCTGGCAGAGTGCTCCTGAATGGAGGGAAGAAGCCAAGAGTACAGCACAGCTCTATTCTGGGACATAGCTGCTGACTGCCCAGGCAGTGGGTGGGGAGACAGGCCTGTGGCTACCTGTGAGTGGGCAGGTCAAGAGTGCAAGTGACAAATGTACATAGAGGGACATGGAGCCGGAGGGCTGGTCCGTGGAGGACAATGGGATAAGGCACTATGATCAGTCCTGCCTGCTCCTTGCCAATGGTGACGTCACACCCAGATCTATTAGGGCTGAGCAAAGATTCTCCCTCCTATGGGCCACCTTTGCACAGATACAAGGGAACGAATGATTGCCGTCTAAGGTTTGGAAACTCCTAGAACCTGGACACATCTAACAAACTTGCCGGCACTGAGATGCTGCCCCCTAGAGCTGCTGGCAGGTGCAGGAGCTGAGGGAAGGGACAGTAAGAGGCCGATTCTCAGGGAAAGAGGTGGACAATGGCTTAAGACCACAGGGCTCCGCAAGGACACTCATCATAGCCAAGTCTACACTTATGGAGGTTGACCTCCACCTACCTGGCCAAGTGCCTGGGTGGGTAGAGGGCAGACATTGGGGTAGGGCAGAAGAGAGAAGGGAAAAGAAAAAAAGGGAGGGAGAGAGGCACTTGGAGCTGGGAAAGGAGGCCTGGCTACCATGCCAGAGGGAGCTGCTGACTCCCAGGGAATGGGCAGCTGACTCCCTGACCAGGCAGGCCTCTGGTCTGCTGGGGACACGGTGATACTAAAGGAAACAAGAGTGGAAGCACAACAGCCCCTCTGAGAGTCAGGGGCAGCAGGAGCATCGGACAGATGGAGGTGAGGCTCAGGCCCTCTCAGGGAGTTGAGCCCGACTGTGGCCTGGGGAGCTGGGGTGGGGAGTATGGGGGCTGTTTTTTCCACTTGCTCATATGTAGGGAAGGCAGCTGCCCCCGCGGGATGGCGGGTGGGGGAGACAGGAACGCAGTCCATGCAGAGGTGAGAAAGGGCCTGGTCACGGTCGCCATGGCAGCCCTGTGGGTCCTCTGCTAACAGCAGCTGCCACTGGCCCAGGAGGAAGCAGCGTGGCCTTGGGGCCAGGAGAGACAATAGGGCCAAGGGGTTGGTGCTTTGGGGGGGGGGGGCGGAGACAGCCCCCCTTGGTCGCACACAAGCTATCTCCCCTGCCAATCCTATGCTGGTTTAGGTAAAACGAGAAACAAAAATGAACACAGAACAAGTCCTGTTCCTTTCTCAGGAGACCAGAGTAGGGAGCAGCGCTGTGGTGCGGTAAAGGGGAGTCCCTTCTCTCCAGGGCCTGGAGGGCGAGAGCAGCCCTGGAGGAGTCGTCTCCTAGGCGCTGTTGCAGGGGTGCAGGCAGTGGTGAGGGACAAGGGTGCAGAGCTGAGTCGGATCATGGCTGGAACACTCTAAGGGGGCCAGGCCCCTCTGTGTGCAGCCCACCCAGCAGACACCTCCCTGCTTAGGGCAGGCCTTTTTTCCTCTGTAAGATGTGTTGACACTCAGGGTGGGCACCAAGTGGAGTCCTCAAAGGTGAGAGAGATGGTGTTTCATGGAGTGTCACTGTAGGTGGCGGTGTGGGTCCCAGGTGCACAGGATACACCATTCATTGTAAGGAAACGACAGTGGCAGCCAGTAAAGACACCACACCCCGTTATCGTGGCAGTGGCCAGGGCCAGAGTTTAGGGCCCCACACAGTATGTGGGACACTCACATCCCAGACGCTTGAGGGCACATGGGGAGAAATGGTCCAGCAGGCAGAGGGCGAGGTGTGCTGGCTTCTTGGGAATGAGGTGCCCCAGAAGACCCTACTATGGCCCAGGCTGAGGTTTGGCATGACAGCTTTTCCCTATTTCCCTAACAGGGCGCTGGGCGGGGTTGCTATCCAGCCATGTCAGTAAGTGGGAGGAGGCGGTCTCCTCTCACTTCTTCCTGGGTCCCCGGCGGGTCAGAAAGCACAGTGGGAGGAGCCGCTCCTCGGAGCTCTGAACCCTGGTGTGGCTGGGTTCCCAGCAGCTCTATGAGAACACCCACAGTGAGTCCTCTCCAGGGTTCTGGGCAAACCCTGTCATCTTCCAGGTGGTTCTTAGCTGCTGATTGTTGTGTCCAAGGCCAGGATCAGCACCCCTGAGGAGCCTTGCAGTTCCCCCTTTTATGGAGAAACTCCCCACAGGGCTGCTCTGGAGAAGTCAGGTGCTACAAGCACAACTGGGAGGTGTATTAAAATGAAAGACAACAAAGGGAGAGTAAAGGACATAAACCAAGTTGCTTCCTGGCCCCTTACAAAACCCAACAAGGAAACTGATGTGTATGCTTTAAGTTGATGTCCATATTAAGTTCTTTCAAAGATGGCCTGTCCACAGAGTGGCTTCCTGCTCTCCTGAAGTTTCAATGGTTTAAATTAAAGCAGAGAAAGAAAAGACAAAGTAAGCAACACTAGAAGAAGAAACGCAAACAAAAGTTTCACATTGCTGGAGAGCCAGCTGCCGGGAGATGGCCAAGTGGCCAGGCCACCACTGTCCCCTCTGCCGTCCTGGGTCCGAGACACGATGAGACTCTGGGTCCCGACCTGGAAGACAGAAGGCAGGCAAGGAATGGACACAGGGCCAGCAGGCTGGGGGGTGGTTCTGAATGCTTTCTGTGGAGTACTCAGAGTCTCACTCACTGTTAATTACCTCCCACCCCTATTCCAGAACTATTTCCCCCTTTTCAGATAAGGCAATCACAGTGTAGACTAGGAACTGAACTGGCTGTGAACCTAGGCACACTGGCTCCTGCCCCCAATCTGTGCTCCAACCCCTCCCTCACCCCTCACCCTGGCCTCCCTCCACTGTTAGGAGAATGAGGCTACAGGACCTAACCTGCAGGGCCAGCCCTGGTTCCTGTTTCCCTCCTCCCTCTTTTGACTTGCTTATCCCAAGGACAGAATTTTGAACCCTAGAGACCTAGAACTCTGAAGTACAACCTGGAAATCTCTACTATAGCTGGCTGTGAGCATGGATCCTTCTGTATCTTGTACGATAGTTGTCACTGCTTTCTGTTACAAGGGTGAGTTGATACCCCAGGCATTTGTCAGGGGCAGGCTTCTTGCTGGCAAGGCAGATGGGGACGTGCAGCCATGACACCAGTAGGTGTCCCTCCACCCCACACGTCCACAGTTCTCTACACAGACAAGGAATTAGTCCAATCTTCAATTACACAGCAAGTCACCAGAGATTGGTGAGTGAGTGGCAAGGCCCTGCTCTATTTCACTTTGCCTCTCATCTGTTTTCCAGAAAGCAAGCTGTCTGGCTGGTCTACTCAGATGACGGCACAGGATAAACTCAAAGTGGTACTGCTGGGGAAGAGGAAAGTGCTCTCTGTACCTACATCCCCGCTCCGCCCCCAGTGCTGCCTATGGCATGATCACGGTGGCTGATGCTATGCTAGACACCAGGCAAGGTTTACTACACAACGCCTCCTCTGTCCAAAGACCAGCTAGCAATTATCCCCAAGCTATACACGAGCAAACTGAGGCTCAGTTATCCAACTGGAGCACATCAGTCTGCAGAACAAGCAAGCTTCACCGATGTAGCGAAGCCAAGCAACTATCAGGATAAAGGAGGGTAGGCCTCTCCTTTATCTAAGTAGGATTAGCTTCCAAATGACTCACTTCTCACATATTTCACACACCAGAGCATCTGGCTTCTCAGACCTCACACATGGCCCTGGGGCTTCAGTGGCTCTGGCTCTACTGTCTGTTCCAATCAGTCACAGGCAGGAAGGCCAGGCAACCCAGCTTTCTGGTGCATCGTTCTCCACAGCTGAACAAGCAACCATGGTGCTTCAAGTAGGCCAGACTGGGACACCCTTGCTATCAGTACCCTGTCATCAGGGTGGAGAGAATGGGTGTGGAGATGATGGAGGGGACAGGGCTGTTTGCAGTGTGCAGGCCTGTCTACAGGAGGGGAACAAGAGGCCAGTTGCCCCAACATACACACCAAGGCAGGTCTTAGGTAATTCATGGTCTTCGAGTCCTGATGTGTTCTGACACAGGTGAGTAGGGATCCAAAAGCAGGTCCTGGATACATGACAGAGCACTGCTCAGAGCATACAGCACACAACAGCGAACAGGTGCTCTTGGTCCAGGGCATGGGCTTCGGAGCAGGAGGATGCAAAGCTGATATCCCCTCTCTACCTAGTGGTCCCCAGGGCTTCAGTTTTCTGAACTTAAAATAAAGGCCGGGGATGGCCTGGTGTTTCCTTGCAGCTCTTGGGTTACTAAGTGATGTTGGGATTTTTGAAAGGAAATAATATCCGGTGATTGATGGAAACTGGGAGTTAGTACCTGGCAATAAAAATTTAATTTACAAACCATAGGGAATCATTCCATTCAATGTGACAGGGTTTTAACAGCAAGATACAGTTCTAAGAATCCCTGCCTGGGGGGTCCAAGTTCCCAAGTCACTGCCAAGATGTGAACACCCATTCTCACTGCACGTCCACACCAGCAGGTGCACTGAGGGCTGGCTGTTGAGCACTTCCTCACAGAGTTGGGCCACCTCTCTTGAGCTCTCACAGCCAGTGAGGATGTGTACTTCCAACCCGGGCTACTTTTCCACCATGCTTCTCCTCTCTTCTCACACCTCCAGAGCTGATGGGCAAAGTGAGGCAAGCTTCCTGGCTTTTTCTGACGTTGCTATTTCCTTAGTTACAGAACCCGGGTACTGCTTAGATTCCAGCTCTCTTGGCTCCCCCTTTCAAGTCTTTCGGCAGGGCCCTCCCACAGAGGGGAAGCACAGCTAGCTGTCTGCAAAGCCACGAAGTTTTACGTGGACAGGGTGCTCCACATTCATGTGTGGCTAGTTGGTGCTGGCCTGGCTCAGACTCTGTCCCCTGAACCTAAGCTGGTCACAGTAAGAGGTTAATGAGAACAGAGCTGGGTTGGAAAGACAGGTTGGGTTTAAACACTGTGGGCTTCCCAGGCCTTACACACTATGTCCTTCTAGGTCCAACCATCTGTCATCCAGCAAAATCACCTTGTCACTCCTTCACTGACAAAGTGGCTCAGGAGGTAGTGATGGGCTTCTGTGTGGCCAGGGCATGGGACTTCCAGTCTCCAACTGAAACCATAGAAGTGAGAAAGCAGGGGCTAGGGCAGCCCTGTCAAGGACAGAGCACTATTGTGTAGCCACGGGTCTCCCTGTGCCTAAGGAGACTCCATCTCCATGCCCTACTTAAATGTGTACAGAGGAAGCCAGTCCCATCAGTGCTCTTAGGGCAGACTGTCACACAGGCATTAACAGCACAGGTGTTATTCCAGGGATGTGCTCCCAGGTGGCAACCTGCTAAGAGACATTGAAGGAAAAAGCAGGCACAGTGGCAGGTACAGTGGGGAGCCCAGCTTCCGGTCTAGCTGTCTCCTCACTCCTCCTAGAGTTATCAGGTCTTCACATACCACACCAAAGACTTGGGGTCAGCACAAGAGTTCTTCATCTGAACTCCTAACCTGAAGGGCCCTCTGCTCAACAGCTCTTGGAGGACCAGAAAAGGCCAGAATATAAGACACACACATCTTTCTGGCACATTATCGACACCTCTCAGATTCTGAGGATCTCAGATGTGAAAAAGTGTTGAGGGTCAAGCAGAAATCTGCCTTTTACCAAGAAGCAGCACCTGAGGGACTCAGTGGGGTCTCAGACACAGCTGGGCAGGGACTGCTGGTGGAGGCCTTCCTGGCAGTGGGATTCTAAGGGTTCTGTTCCCAGTGGAAGCTTCACCCTTGCTCATGGTCTACAGCTACACACTCTTGCAGCAACAGAGAGCAGGGTGTGCCTCACTGCATCAGCAGACATGAGAAGAGCTTCCAGGCAAGATGGTACAGCTGCTGCAAACAGATGTCAGCTTTACTTTGAGTGTACAAGTTTGATCAAGGCTGTGAATGGAGGGCATGCAAATCTCCGGGAGTGGTCACTGTGGAAGCTCTTAGACAAGAAGACTTGGTTCTTTTTCAGCAGGAATCATGTCAGCACCCCTGATATGCTGAATATTAAACCCTCTGACTCCTTGGAGGGTGCTGGGGCTGATATTAAAAGTTTGCCAAATGCACAGAAGAGAACTTGTTAGGCAAGACAGAGTTCTGAGATGCAGGTCTCTGTGGTGACCAGCAGCCAATCATCCATCTGGGTCTCAGGACCCAACATCATGCAGACCTGCTGTTTGGGGAAAGTTGAGAGGCCACTGGGGTGCCTGGGTAGTCTCCCCTAGCGCCCCAGTTCATAAACAGGCACTGGGAAGAACCCAAGACAAACTAAGGGGGAACTTTCCCCTCCAGAAACCTGGTAGTAATTGGCAGTTAGCTATGTGAATATCTTAATTCCCTTCCTCAATTTGTTAAGTTAAGGGTTGAAGCAAAACCTGCTAACTTTCTCAATTGGTCTCTGAAGAGACAGGTTCAGCTGCGGCTGCTATGATTAGCAGGGAAGGCACCAGGGAAAGGCTGGGATCCCCGGGTTCTCCTTAAGGGCTCTCTGCCAGCAGGCAGACACTGGAGAGGCTGTTACGAGCGGAAGAGGACAGGTCACACTTCCAGATGGGCACTGGACAATTTGTGGTTCTAAAAAGGAAGATGCAAACAAAGCAGCACCCAAGGGGTGGTCTGGGCGGAAGGAGCCCCATATGGACACCTGATTGTAAGAATTAGTGCAAAGCCCACTGTGCTTGGGTCAACCTGCCAGGGACATGGCCACAGGGCTTGGAGATCTCTGGGGGGGGAGGGGGCCGGCGAAAGGGGGAAGGAGGGAACCTCAAGGTGGAAGTGAGGAGTGGGTGAAAACATGTGACAGCCCATGAGGATCTGATGACAACAACACATCAACACACAATGCTACCTGCTCTGCTAGCACTGCACTCACAGGATGCACCACCCTCATACACTTTCCAGACAAGGAGACAGGGCCCAGGGAAGGGAGATGACCTGCCCTGTCATCCCACCGCTCTGAGACACCTAGGCTGTTTACACCTAGGCTTACGGTCTCCCAGGGCCGACAACAAACCATGGTCACTATTATGGAGGCTCAGGGTTCCAACTGCCCAACTTGGTTGCCACTTTTTATTTTGCACATGCTCAGGGTGGTTGGTGTCTGGGCAGTGGCACATACCATGGGCATGTGCACTGCCAGGTGTGGCATCTCGGCTCCCTCTTCAGGGTGGACTGACAGTTCTTCCTTCACTGAAGCTGACTCACTTTCCTAAAATATAGCTTCACATTCCACCACCCACCTACCCAGCCCTAGCTCCATCTTTTCTGTGGGATGAAGTTCATCCTCTGTGGGCTGACATTCAAGGATCTTAGCAACTTGGTACTACTCAGTTCTCCAACTCTGTCAACCAATCCAATGCTATCCACACAACAGTCTGGGCTTGCTCATGTCGTGCCCCCTTCTGACCCCATTCTCCTTTCTCTCAGGCCCATCTTAAGGAACATGTCTAAAACATGGTCACCCTCACTATTCCCTTCTCTGAGCTCTGGGTCGCTTTGGGATAGTTGCTCAGATGATCTCTCTTTGGTGGCTTCATGGAGGACAGCAT